GCTTCCTTTCATCGTGCTCCATTTGGCAGGTGAGCGACCCACTCCGTTGGGAGAATACAGGAATTATATAACATTCTCAAAATAGAAAAATTAGAGATGGGAAAAGAGTTGTTTGGGGTGGTGGAGGAGAGGTGCATGCATGTACCTGTCGGGTTATTGCCATGCTATCAGCTGTCTCTCTCTACCTTTCTCCTTCTTTTCCACTCCAGTGACTTGAAGCTTCCTGGGGCACTGCCCTGTTTCTCCCTAATCCCAGTGTCCCTGTGCACAGAGACCTGTCCTGTCAGCTAGACACAATGACTCTCACAGTGCCAAGCCCTGGGCCCTTGCGGCTACTCCTTGGTCTCACCGCCTACTGTGAATAGCTGGTTTGGCTCCTGCCCACTCCTGCTGGGCTTAGCGGTCTCCTTGCCTCTGCTGGAAAAACAGGTCTCTGCTTGCCTTCACAGTTGTCTCTTCTTTAGCTATGTTGAGTTGCCATCGTCCTATGTATGATTTTCTGGTTGGAACATTACTGTTTCTGGTCTACATTTTTCCTAATTTTCAATGCTGGTATGGGTTTAGAGAGTAGGAAAGATAAATGCAATTCTTCATAATTTGTCTTAGAATAGTCTCCACCAAAAAAATTTTCAGCAAGTTCACCAGTGGGCTTCTACAATGCTAAATCCAATGCACACGCCTCTGTTCTTATTTCAAAGAATTCTCTACTGTATTTGATACAGCCGGTGATATGAGTTTCTCGAGGTTGCAACAGCAAATGACCAGACTTGGTAGATAAAACACAGAAATTTATTCTCTCACCATTCTGGACCCAGAAATCCAAAATCAGTTTCACTGGACGGCCAGAACCAAGGTGCCAGAAGGACTGTGCTCTCTCTGGGGTTTCTAGGGAAGAATCTGTTCTTTGCCTCTTCCTGTTTCTGGTGGCCGCCAGCATTATTTGGCTTGTGGCCACACCACTCCGGTCTCTGCCTCTGTTGTCACATTGCCTCCTCTTCTAATATGTGTACCAAATATCTCTACCTCTCTTTTATAAGGACATTTATAATGGCATTTAGGGTCCACCTGGATAATCCAGGATAATCTCCCTATCTCAATATCCTTGATCACATATGTGAAATTTTTCTCATATAAGAAAACATTCACAGGTTCCGGAGATAAGAACCAGACATCTTTAGGTGGCCATTATTCAGCCTGCTACACTGACCATTCTCATTCCTTCTCAAAACTTCCCTCTTTTGAATTCTGATACACTATTCTGTACTCTGTTCTCCTGTTTATACCTCACAATTATATCTTGGTTTTCTCTGTGGGCCTTTTCTGTTTAAGCCCACATGTTCCCTGGGGACCATCCTTGGCTTGCCACTTTTTTCTCATTGGGACCATTTCATGGACTCCAGTGATTCATAACTCTTCACCTCTATCTTTAGCCCTTAGCTCTCCCTGATTATCAGATTGTGTTTGCAGTTGGTCAGATACCTGCCAAAAATGTCTATCTGGATATTCATCAAGTACCTCATACTTAAGAGTCTTCCAAAACGGAATCCATGTCCTCCTTCTCCACCACAAACAGAAGTGCAACCAGGTTCTCACGCTGCAGAGAAAACATATACCAAAAGAGTTCCACTCAATTGGTGAGGGAGGACTAGGGGGAAGAAAGGGTCCAGACCTTGCCAGGAGGACCCTTCTGTCAAAAAGGCCTCATTTGTGCTGCCTTCCCATGTGCCTCACACACAGACTCACCCTCATGTTTCAGGTGTGTAGTGAACTAACAAACTGTCACTTTCTCACTAAGAGGTGCAAACTCTACACCAGGCCCAGTACAAAGTGAAAATGCAGGGCCTCTTGATCAAACACTAGTAGGAATTGCACAAGTGGCAACAGGTGAGCAGTAAGCTAAGTGTGGGGCCCTTCTAAGCACAGGACCCTACTTGACTACACAGCTCACAGGCCTGTGAAGGTAGCCCTGCCTGGGAGCCATTTCTTCCTTCTCTTCCCACTGCCTGGATCTAACCAGTTACCAAGACTCACTTTGCTGCTCTTCAAGTGTCTCCTGATTCTGCTCTTTCCCTTTCCTTTCCATCATTGCCTCAGTGCAAGCCCTCGTTTCCTCCATCTGTTCTTTCTGGCTCAGCTCTCTAGACCTGCAGCCAGAATCTGGTCATGTCAAATCTGGTCATGTCACTGCCCAGCCTAAAATGCGCAGTGGCCTCTCATCACCATGAAGATCAAGTCCCAGGTACTTAGCATGTTCCACCAGCTTGAACTCAAAGTGATGATAATATCAAACCTCTTACAGGACTTGCACATGCCATAGTGCAACACACCTCTATGCCTTTGTTATTGCTGTTACCCTTTACCTGGACAACCTATCCTTTGAGTCTCATGGCTCAACTAATTATATGTTTGTGTGTGTGTGTACATACACTTTTTTTTTTTTTTTGAGTCAGAGTCTCACTCTGTTGCCCAGGCTGGAGTACAGTGACACAATCACGACCACCACAGCCTCTACCTGGGCTCTGGGGATCCTACCGCCTCAACTTTCCAAGTAGCTGGAACTACAGGTGTGTGCCACCATGCCTGGATAATGTCTTGATTTATTGTAGAGATGAGATCTTGCCAAGTTGCCCAGGCTGGTCTCGAACCCTGGGCTCAGGCAGTCCTCTTGCTTCTGCATTCCAAAGTGCTGGAATTATAGGTGTGAGCCACCATACCCACATTTGTTTTAAAGCTATAAGAGTACCTGGTATATAGTTAGCACAGTATGCTATTATTATTAGCTATTATTATTATTCCTGGAAACCCTCTTAGAATGCCAAGTTAGGCTGGATAGCCTTCTTTAATATTTCCATGGCACATTACACATATCTTATCTTACTATATTACAGTGAAAATGTGTCTTCATCTGGCTGCCTTCTCAACTATATTAAAAGCTCCTTGAGGCAGGGACCATGTCTTCATCTTTTAATCCTAGTGCCAAATGTCCTACACATAGTCGGCATTCCAAAAATGTTTGTGTAGTCAGCTGATCTCCATAATACCTCCAGCCATTTGCAGAAGTCCTGAAGGTGATTCTTGAAAAGAATCCCAGCTCCGGTAGAAAAAAGCAAAAATGTTTTCAGCCACCACCTGTGGCCACCATGTTCTTCCTCTTATTCCTGCAGTGCATAGCCCTGCTGCCTTCTCATAATTTCCTTGTCTTCCCCATGGACAATTTCTTCAATCATCAGTGGTGTTTTTTTCCAGTGATGCCCCTAAATCTTCACTCCTGGGGCCCGCACTCTGCTTGAACCTCCCTTTTCATAACTGATGCACACTCTGCCAGGGTAATTCCAAAGGAGTCAGGTTCAAGCCTGGTGGTGGAAACCCCGGATGTCGTGGCTGGTTCTTTTCTAGGAAGTTGGCTTGAGACAGGTATTAAAGAGGCCACATCAGAATGTGTAAATCTAACTTTAAAATTTGTGATCAGTGAGCAAGGTGTTTCCCATCGAATCTAGTCCCTTCCCAGCTCTTTTTATTTTAAAAGCCAGGTCACGCCAGGCTCGGTGGCTCAGCCTGTAATCCCGCGCCTTGGAAGGCTGAGGTGAGTGGATTGCCTGAGCCCATGGGTTCGAGACCCACCTGGGCAGCGAGACCTCATCTCTACAATAAATCAAAAAATCAGCCGGGCGTGGTAGGGCATGCCTGTAATTCTGGCTACTCAGAAGGCTGAGGCGGAAGGATCGTCGGAGCCCAGCAGGTCGAGGCTGCAGTGGCCGGCAGCGGTCACTGCACTCCAGTCTGGGCGACAGAGTGAATCTCCAACTCAAAATAAATAAATAAATAAATAAATAAATAAATAAAAAATAAAAGCCAGGTCACCAGACTTGGTAACTTTGGAGAGAGATAGCTGACAAGAGTAGGTTGGATTAGAAATACAGATTCAAGGTTGGGTACAGTGGCTCAAGCCTGTAATCCCAGCACTTTGGGAGGCTGAGTGGAAACGATTGCCTGAGCTCAGGGGTTGGAGACCAGTCTGGGCAACTTGGTGAAACCTCGTCTCTACGGTAAAACAGAAAAATTAGCTGAGCGTGGTGGTGCACGCCTGTAGTTCCGGCTCCTCGGAAGGCCGAGGCGGAAGGCTCGCCGGAGCCCAGCGGGTCGAGGCTGCGGTGGCCGGGAGCGGCCGCTGCACTCCGGTCTGGGCAACAGAGTGAGACTCCAACTCAAAAAAAAAAAGAAAAAGAAATACAGATTCAAATCTTTCCTGAAAAGTGTATTTATGTGGTACCATGGATGGTTCACTCTCGTGGGACAAAACAGCCTTTCTCCTGGTTTTTGTAGTTTTGAATATTCTAGCCTCCTCACCGCCCCCGCCCCCCCCCCCCCCCCCCGGTTTCTTTTAAGGGTGGAAGCAGCTTCTGGGTCCTTTGTGCGGCAGGAGGTACTTTGGGGCCTTTACTTTTCCTTCCAAGAGCCCGCAGGTCGTTTGAGTGCCTTCTGAGTGGCATCTGAGAACATGGAAAGTAGATGGATAGTGAACTTTGGAATATTCGCTCCATAAGAGAGAACGTCATGTGAAAAAGGAAAATATATATAGGCTGTTTGCGTATACTTTGTTTAGAATCGGTTTGATGCGAAGTGTTTTATGCAAAGACTGGAAAGAAAAATGGGGGGAACGAAAGCTGTGTTAGGGCGGTTGGTATACAGCTGATTTTTCCATGCACTTCTATAACACCAAGTCGCCCACCACGAGCGAAGAAGATGGCGAATCCACTGTGAAGGTGGGGCTGGAGGAGCTGCTGAGAGGGTAACACCGTTACCTACTGAAATCTCGGGGAGCGGAGATGGCTGCATCCGGGCCAGGGCCGACCCTGGGCGGGTTCAGGGCACCCCCAGCTGCTTCAGGGACCGGAACCCTAGCGACGCTTTGCAACTGTTTTCCGGTCGGCGGTAAAAGCTCAGTCCACGGTCCCCCCGGAAGTTGTTGCACAGTCGTTTCCGGGGCGTTGCAAGGAGGAGCGAGACTCCAGATGGGTCGTAGTCGCAGTCGCTCCCCGCGGAGAGGTGAGTCCAGCGGCAGTTCGGAGCGCCTGGGGCTCGGGGGCAGGCGCGTCCCCCACCTTTTTTTGGTGCGCTAGCCGGGCAGCGGAGCGGAGGGTCCTTTCCTCCGAGGAGAGCGAGAGGAATGAAGACCTGGGCCCTACACTCTCCAGTCCAGACCCTCCGGCTTGGAGGCAGTCTTTTGTTTCCCCTCTGAATTGAGGGTTCACCGACTTTTTCTCAGTTTCCTACCATAGCTTTTATTGTACTGTGGCCGTTGGGTTTAGAATCAGACCACGGTTCCTTCCCTCACTTTCTGGGGGGACCGTGGACAAGTCACCTAACCTTCCTGAACCGAATTCCCGTGAACAGTCATTGGGGGTTGTATTAGCCACTTTTAAAAACTGATGTGAGAATCAGTGTCGCATTCCGGAACATTCAGTGTGTGATCTTGCCTGGCTCTGAGATTCTCAATAAATGTTCGTTTCCTGCCCAGTTCGTCATAGGGAAGCCGATGTTAAGGATCTGGAGTCCTGGGAGCCCATCTCGTAATGTCTTCTGGCCTCCAGCATAAATGAGGCAGTGCTTGTAAACCCTGGCCTTCCATCAGGAGACCTAACTCAGACCCGCGGTCCTGTCTTGGGTTAGTTTTTGTTACCTTCAACTAGTCAAGACTCGATTTTTCCTGCGAGCCACCTGTGGCAATGAAGCATTTGAAATGTGACTAATCCGAACTGAGAAGTGCTGTAAATTTAGAGTACACATTGGATTTCCTGTGAAAAAAAGTTGGATATCTTATGAATAACTTTGTATGTTACTTACATGTCGAAATGATAATAGTTTGGATATACTTGGTCAAAAAAAAAATCTTGTTAAAATTAACCCCACCTATTTCTTTTTACCTTTTCCATGTGACTCCTAGGAATGACTTGCATTCTATTTCTGTTGCATGGCGCAGTTCTAGACATTTTAGGTAATTTTCGGCTCTGCAATTTTTGTGTGTTTGTATTAGAACGTAGGCGGTCCCGGTCCGCATCCCGGGAGAGAGAACGCAGGCGCCGGGAAAGGTCCCGGTCGCGGGAGAGAGATCGCAGAAGGAGCCGCTCGAGATCCCCGCACCGAAGACGCTCCAGGTGAGTGCAGAAAATAAGCCGAAAGCTGTCCCTCAAGTCCGGAAAGCCACTATGTTTTGATCCCGAGTAAAGGGATTTACAGTTCAATGGAATGGGAGAAACCTATTCCTACCTGTTCTAAAGCTAATATTCTTCTTGGTTAAAAGGTTAATCACACTCCACACCATAGAGTTGTTCTGAGAAGTCCATGAGAAATAATGCGTGAAAACCATTTTGCATGGTGCTTGGCAAGAGTGAGAAATAAGTATTTTGTATTTTTGTTTTCTACTGACTTTTTGGTGATGATGATTTTTTGAGTATGTAATCAAAAATGAGTGATCTTAGAAAGACCTTAGAAGTAGACTCTGATTCTTGATAAACATCAATTGCTGTTTAAGTCAGCCTTTTGTATATAATTGTTGGAAACTTCTAAGTTACATTTTTCTGTCTCACAAAAAAACTTTCTAGCCCTAGCTGTACTGAGTGCAAATGATGATTAAGCAGTGATCAAGCAGTAAAAAAATGTATTTTAAAGTGTTTTTGTTAACACTCAGGGTGCTGGCAGAACCTTCTTTCTCACTCTGCCATGGGCAATGGATTCCTGGCTCTCTGGAGCTTGGCTTTCATTTATTTAGCCGTCACCTTTCAGGAACTCATGTGTAGCTGTACTGATCGACACAGTCACCATGTATGCCTATTTCTAACATCCTTACTTGTAAATGTTAGATCTCCAAGGCGACATAGATCCACATCTCCTTCCCCTTCTCGACTGAAAGAAAGAAGAGATGAAGAAAAGAAGGAAACAAAGGAAACAAAGAGCAAAGAACGTCAAATTACTGGTAACGTTATTAGATAAGTAACTGTAGGAACAGTATAACCTTGTTTAGATGACGTCAGCCATGATATGATAAAGGCTTACTTTTTGAACATTTAAATTTTAAGTTTTTTATTGAGTTCATTGCATCTGGTTTTCAGATTTTGTTTTAATTGTAACTTAGCAAGTTGCTGGTTATTTGTGTTACACCTGAAGTCATCTAGGAAAGGTAGCTGAAAACATGAGAATATTCTATTTTTTAGAAGATGTATTCTATATATCTTCAGAGCTAGATAGTGTCATGGCTGTTATTAAAAGTGGTCCTGTCTAAAGGCTCTAAGAAGAGCACATTTTTCTTATACCGTAAGTTACAGTCTGCTCAAATTTATGAAGAATTTCTTTCATTAGACTCATCTTAGCAAATAGTATGTTCTGTCCTGGTCAGGTGAAATGACTATTAATCCTTGCCACCTTTTAAAAAATTTATGTATATTTATAAAATGATAGAGTTCCAAAAAATTGTTTATTTTTGCAGAGGAAGACTTAGAGGGAAAAACAGAGGAAGAAATAGAAATGATGAAATTAATGGGATTTGCCTCTTTTGACACCACAAAAGTAAGTAAAACGTGACTAGTTATATACTCTGATTTGAATTAATCCATTATGACTGCCTGGTCTTTCCATATTCTTTTTCATTCATACAAGTTTGGGTATAAGAGAATAACTATCTGTTTGGAGGGCTTTGAGGATGCAGTAGAGGAAGCAATGAACTGCCATTCAAATTCAGAGAGTGTTTGCCAAAGATGATGTTTGAGATAGAGCTTAAAGGGCAAGTAGAGGTGATCAAAGAGGAGGAAAATGATTTCAAGTAGAGAGAAGAGCTGGTGAAAATGCCAGGTAGCCGGGCATGGTGGTTCACCCCTATAATCCCAGCACTTTGGGAGACTGAGGTAAGAGGATTGCCTGAGCCCACAGGTTCAAGACCAGCCAGGGCAACTTAGCGAGACTTCATCTCTACAATAAGTCAAAAAATTAACTGGGCATGGTGGCACATGCCTGTAGTTCCAAGGTACTTGGAAGGCTAAGGTGGAAGGATCGCTGGAATCCAGTAGGTCGAGGCTGCAGTGGCCATGAGCATGCCCCTGCACTCCAGCCTGGGCGACAGAGTAAGACTCCAATTCAAAAGAAAAAAAAGAAAGAAAATGCCAGTTAGGTGTGAAAATGCCAGGGCATAGTGCATTGTGGGAACTTCAAACTCAGTGACTAGTAAAGGGCCCATATAGGCTAGTGACTGTGCCTGGAGCTAGAAGTAAAGATTGGAGCCACATCCCCAAAGGCTTTTGATTCCCTTAGCTATGCCAAGTAATTTCGACTTGATTCTTTAGATGTTGAGGAGAGGAGGCAGTAATTGTTGAGCAAGAGAAGGACATGACTACCTGCATGTGCTAGAAAGATGACTCTGGGGCAACGTGGAGGACAGATGGGAGGGAGGTGGGTCAGACTGGAGGCAGGGAGAATTTCTAGTTTGTGCAAGTGACAGATGGTGAAGGCTTGAACTGAGTTGAGGACATGGGAGTGAGTAGTCAGTGACGTCCCTGAGGTGTCAGCATGGGGAGGCCAGCGATACCGTTAGCCCCGAACAGGGTTTCAGGAAGGGGAACTGCTGGGGAACGGAGGAACAAAGTCCAACTGCCAGACAGAAGTGACATTGGACTGCTGTATACGTGTTTCTCAGCTCAGAGGGGAGTGGATTGGAGAGTGGAAGCTGTTTAGCCTTGGTCATAGCACTGGAGATGAGGGGAAAGGGAAAAGAAGGAGGAATTGTAGCAAGCAGGGGGGAAAGAGCAGAGAGACCAAGGGAGGAAGGGGGGAGAGAAATAGGGAAGTGGGGAGGTGGAAAGATGGGAATAGAGAGAAGAAATGGAAGGAGGGGAGTGGAGAGAAGGGGAATATGTATGGAAAGAAAACATTTTTTTAAGAAGACATCTCTTTTTTTTTTTTGAGTCGGAGTCTCACTCTGTTGCCCAGGCTGGAGTGCAGTGGCACGCTCATAGCCACCACAGCCTCTAGTTACTGGGCTCAGGCGATCCCTCCACTTCATCCTTCCGAGTAGCTGAAACCACAGTCGTGCGCCACCATGCCTGGCTAATTTTTTGATTTATTACAGTGACGAGTTCTCGCCATGTTGCTCAGGCTGGTCTCAAACTCCTGAGCTCAGACAGTCCTCTCACCTCTGCCTCTCAAAGTGCCGGGATTATAGGCATAAGCCGCCACCCCGGCACAACATATTTTTTTTTAAAACCTCAATCTTGCCAGGCTTGGTGGCTCAGCCTGTAATCTCGTGCCTTGGGAGGCCGAGGTGAGTGAATTGCCTAAGCACGGGTTCGAGACCCGCCTGGGCAACTTGGCGAGACCTCATCTCTACAAAAAAAACCAGACAAAAAACAAAACAAAAAAAACCCTCAATTTTAAGTGTTTTCATTGGGTTTGTAAGTAGAAATTGAGATTTTTCAGAAAAATTGTCAAAAATAATCTACTTTCCCTCATTTTGTATTCTACCAAGTTGTTGATGGAGTGGGATAATCTCAGATGCTGTAAGAGTTTCTAACTAATATGATTGTGTAGGGCTCACATGTTTTTGTTTTTGGTTTTTTTTTTTTGAGTCAGAGTCTCACTCTGTCACCCAGGCTGGAGTGCAGTGATATACTCACTACACTATAGTGGGAACCACAGACGCACGCTACCACACCTGGCTAATTTTTTGATGTACTGTAGAGACAAGTTCTCACCAAGTTACCCAAGCTGATCTCAAACCCCTGAGCTCAGCCAGTCTTCTTGCCTCGGCCTCCCAAAACGCTGGGATTACAGGCTTGAGCCACTGTAGCCAGCCAGCTCACGTTTTAAAATAATGGTATGTAACTTAGGAAGAGTGCTGAGGCAAGGCTGTTTTGAGGTGAGAAAGTGAAGAACGAGGTCTTGTTCTTGCCGTGGTTCTCTGAAACCCAATTTGGAATGTAATTTTTTTTCTTTTTTTGTAGAGACGAGATTTCTTTGTTGCCCAGGCTGGTCTCAAACTCCTGGCCTCAAACAATCTTCCCTCCTTAGCCTTCCAAAGCGCGGGGATTACAGACTCGAGCCACTGTGCCCGGCCCATTTTGGAATTTAATACTGCTTATGTGCCAGGTTTTTTACTTGAATACACCAAATTCTTTTTTGTTTTTCCAAAGCGTATTTTATAAGTGAAATTGGAAGTCCTGTGAGAAAAGCCTTCCTGGCAGCTGGAGCATTTGAATTGGGCCTTGAATGATGGATAAGAACCAGGTAGTTAAAGAAGGCAAGCCAGGCATGAGGAACAAGCAAGTGGGTGTGGTGAGTTGATTTGGCTGAATCAGAAGACCCACACAGAAATTAGAGAAAAAGAGAGTAGGCAGCATATTCAGAAAGGCCAATATGGAAGTGACTCATAACAACCTAACATTCGTGTCTACTAATCAAAATTGCAAGGCCTGTGCAAGAAAGGGGATTTAGGTGAATGGTGACGTTCCAGCTATGATTTGAGGATATTATGAGCTAAGGTTGTAAGTCAAATTGTGTGTGAATGTGAACTTTTCTGGAAATAATCTCCACAACTTGTATCTGGTTAAAGGATTCTTAAATCAAAAAAGATGAGGATCTGCTACCTTACTTCCTGGCATACCTTGCACATAATACCACAAATATTTGTTGGTTTGAATATTGTATTAATTGCTTATGTGTGACTATAAAAATGTAAGCAGAGGCCAGGCATGATGGTTCAGTCCCCTAATCCCAGCACTTTGAGAGGCCGAGGCAGGAGGATTGCATGAACCCAGGTGTTTAAGACTAGCCTATGCAATATAGTGAGACCACCTCTCTACAAAAGATATAAAAATTAAGTGGGCATAGTGGCTTGCTCCTATAGTCCTAGCTACTCAGGAAACTGAGACAGAAGGATCACCTGAGCCCAGGAGGTCAAGGCTGCAGTGAGCTGGGATCATACTACTGTACTCCAGCCTGGGTGACAGAGTGAGACTCTGTTTTTAAAAAAAAAAAAATGGGAGCAGAGAGTTTTAACAGTTGGAAGTTCGTGGGCTGTCATCAGAATCTGAAAATTCTCTCTCCCTCATTGGGCTGTTTTTTTTGTTAAATGGACCTTGCCATTTAAGTGGGTCTGTGGGGTCTAACTCTTTGATCCAGGCATTTAATGTATCTTTCCTATTAAATTTTATTGTTTGTCTTCAGGGGAAGAAGGTGGATGGCTCTGTCAATGCCTATGCCATAAATGTGTCTCAGAAGAGGAAGTACAGGTATGCATAGCCCCCATTATTATGTTTGAACTGATGAAAGCAGTTTTGTACTTGGAAAATAATGTGATTACAGAACAATTAGGTTTATAGGAAATAACAGTTTTCCATACTGTTCCTTGTTTTAATAAAGTATTATCTTCATTGCTTATATTCTGGTGTGTTAAAGTCATTTTCCCATTTGTATTTGATCTAATAGTTATTAGAGAGAAGGTAATTAATTGGCTTAAATATTTTAGACAGAAATTTAAATATTTAGATAGTAATTCCTTCAAAAAAGCATAATCTCAAGTCTGTGAGCTTTGATTTCATTAAAATCACAGGTTTAAGATAGATCTCTAGATTGATTATTTAAGGATTTCAAATATAAATATAGTCTCCTTTTAAGTATCCATATTTTGTTTGTTTTGTTTTGGTCTTTTTTTTAAGAGATAGGATCTTACTCTGAAGCCCAGGCTAGAGTGCAGTGGCATGATTATAGCGTACTGCTGTCTTGAGCTCTGGGGCTCAGATGATCCTCCCACCTTAGGCTTCTGAGTAGCTGGGACTTGTACACCACTGTGCCCAGCTAGTTTTTAATTTTTTTGTAGAGACAAAGTCTTGCTGTGTTGCCCAGGCTGGTATATTTTATTTCTACCACAGATTTGGAACAAACTAATCCATTCTTGAAATCTCACTTAATTCCTAATGAATGAAAAAGTCAAGACATTTTCAGACATTATCTTTCTCTCTACCTTTATCACTGGTAAAAGGCTAATATTCTGATTAATTTAGACTATTAATAATATGGTTTGAAAATACTGTAAGCTAAGGTACTAGAATCATCTCAGACAGTTCTTTGTAAAATTACCTTCAAGTAAGTTCTTTTGGGAAGCATCATGACAGTGTGGAGTTGAATTTGCTTGATGGGTGCCTATTTGGGAATTCTTCTCTATTTTCAAATGTGTTTAGTGTTACCAAAAATAAATATGGATTTTCAGTTGAAATTTCTAAGTCTGTAGATAATTTCAAAAAGTTTCAAAAGGTGACTTCCATACCACTATTTGGAGTTTAAAGAAAACTGGTAGGCTTTTGCTTGTTTTGAAAATAAAACAGTCTCTTAATATGCATTAAATAACTTTGAGTAGTTTGTACCCCAGATTGCCATTTTAAAAATGGCTTACATAGCTGGGCACCGTGGCTCATGCCTGTAATCCTAACACTTTGGGAGGCGGAGGTGAGAGCTCAGCCTGAACCACATGGCGAGACCTCGTCTCTACAGTAAATAAAAAAATTGGCTGGGCATGGTGGCACATGCCTGTGGTTCCAGCTACTTGGAAGACTGAGGCAGAAGGATCACTTGAACCCAGCAGGTTGAGGCTGTAGTGGCTGCGAGCATGCCACTGCACTCCAGCTTGGGCGACAGAGTGAGACTCCAACTCAAAAAAAAAAAAACAACCAAGCTGGACTCGGTGGCTCAGCCTGTAATCCTGCGCCTTTGGGAGGCTGAGGTGAGTGGATTGCCTGAGCCCGCGGGTTCGAGACCCGCCTGGGCAACTTGGCAAGACCTCATCTCTACAATAAATCAAAAATTAGCCGGGCGTGGTAACACGCACCTGTAGTTTCAGCTACTTGGAAGGCTGAGGTGGAAGGATCGCCAGAGCCCAGCAGGTTGAGGTTGCGGTGGCCGGGAACGGCCACTGCACTCCAGTCTGGGCTACAGAGTGAGACTCCAATTCAAGAAAAACCAACCAAAAAGAAATGGTGTATAGATTTGCTCTTTGAAGCATGTTATGTGTTTTTAGAAGTCCAGAATTTTTTAGTAAACAATTTTCTCTTCTCATCACAGGCAGTACATGAATCGAAAAGGTGGATTCAACAGACCATTGGATTTCATTGCATGAGAATTGAAATGTTGAAGAAAGAATTTTTTTCCCCTCACCTTGGTCAGAGTGGATTTTGTATTTTGTATTTAATATGCATCAAAAACAGGATCTCAATTCTTCTTTGTAAAGTAAGAAAATATTATTTATGATGTACACAGTTCACCTACCTTGCCTCAAAAGAAAACAGGTTAAATATTACATTTTTCCCTAAGAAAATAACATTTGTGGCAATCATCAGCCCCATTTTGTTTGTCATTATTTCTGTGGAAGCTGTATGTGTTTTGTTCTTGGAAACTCATTAGGACTTTTTTAAAAACTTGAAAGTAACTTAGATGTAAGTTTCTTCAATAAAGCAATATTTCTACCCTTTTATGTTTGATAAATATTTTTACTGCTAGATGAAAGAATCTCCCTAGACATTTTCTTTTTTATATATATAGAGTTAGATATCTTGATTCTTAGTAGTTTAAAAATTGGAAGAGTGAAAAAGTATAACTTTTGAATCTTCTGTTTTTTCCTCCCAGATACTATATATTGTCCCCCAATTATAAAAGCAGTACATGCTTATTATAATTTTAAAAAAACCCCTTTGGGAGAAACCAAAAAGTAAAAGAGAAGCCAAAAATCTCTTTACTTCCAGAAATAATCAATGTTAACATTTTGGTATATGTATTTCTCCTCTGGGTATATATCTCACCCCCACTCATAATGTCAGAATGTGTATATAGTTCTCTTTTTCTAATCCTGTTTCTCCTATTCATGATAAACGTTTTAAAGTACTTTTAAATTTCTTTGGAAATTTAACTTTTAGTAGCTACTTGGTTATATTATAATTTATAAACTAATCACTTGTTGGTAGACATTGACTTGCCTCCTGTGACTTGCCATTATAATGAAAACTGTGACTACTGTCTTCATTGCATACATATTTTTGTACTTGTTTCATTATTTCTTCTTGCTCAATTCCTAGATGTGTCATTGCTGGATGAGATAAAGAGGGATTTTTGTGTGCATGCTTTAAAACTTGATATGTATAGATGGAAGATAACCAACTCCATCCAGTAAAGTATGAGCATTCCTACTTCAAATACAGTACAAATATTAGGTGTAAAATTTGTTAAAGTTTCCTATCTGATGAGTACAATAATGGTACTGTTTGGCTTTATTTCTATTTTGTTTCCTTTCCCGGGAGGATGAATATTTTTAAAATTATTAACCTTATGTTTTTTGGGGGTGTTTTGGGTATTTCTTTTATGAAGTGCTAATTCCAAGTCTTGAATCCATTTGTCTCTGGCAAACTTTTCTCTTTCTCATTAGAAGAAAGCTCTTTTTATTTTTATTTTTATTATTTTCTTTTCTTTTCTTTTTTTGAGTTAGAGTTTCATTGTCACCCAGGAGCGGCCATTGCAGCCTCGACCCACTGGGCGCCGGTGATCCTTCTGCCTCAGCCTTCCAAGTAGCCAGAACTACAGGTGCGCACTACCACACCCGGCTAGTTTTTGATTTATTGTAGAGATGAGGTCTCGCCAAGCTGCCCGGGCGGGTCTCGAACCCGCGGGCTCAGGTAATCCACTCACCTCGGCCTCCCAAAGTGCTGGGATTACAGGCTGAGCCACCGAGCCCAGCCAAAAGCTCTTTTTATATTAAAGATGATAATCATCGCCCATTCTTTTTTTTTTTTTTTTTTTTTTTGAGACAAGGTCTCACTCTTGTCACCCAGCGGCAGTGCAGTGGCACGATCATAGCTCACTGCAGTCTTGAGCTCTTGGACTCAAGCAATCCTCCTACTTCAGCTTCCTGGATAGCTGGAAGTGCCGGCATGCACCACCATGCTAAGCTAAGTTTTAGATTTTTTGAGAGTTGGAGTCTTGCTATGTTGCTCAGGCTGTTCTTGAAAGCCTGGGCTCAAGCCATCCTCCTGCTTCAGCCTCCCAAAGCGCTGGGTTTACAGGTATGAGCTCTGTGCCTGGCCCCCATTCTGTTTTATACCTTGCTGCTATTTGATGTTGTGTGGCTAGATTTTAAATTTTATTTTTCTGAAAGTAAGTACTCCAGACACATGGAACACAATTCAGATGATACAAAGGGCATTTAGTGATGAGTTAATTGTGTGTCCATGCATGCGCAAACATTTAAAAAATATTCCTCATTTTATTATTCAAATAGAAGCAAACTCTACACACTGTTCTGCATCTAACTTTTGTTTACTCACTAGTGTGTCTTAAGATCATTTCTTTCTTTTTTTTTTTTAAAGTGAGAAAGCAGGATTTATTGAGAAGACAGAAAAGCTCCCACAGTGGGAGGGGACCTGAAAGGGTTGCCCTTAAGATCGTTTCTTATCAGCATATGTACAATTGTCTCTTTTTAAGGGCTGCTTTATAGTCTGTTGTAGGATAGGTCATAATTTATCTAAGTAATCCCCTGTTGGTGAACATTCTACCCATTGCATGATTGTCATCACCCCAGGCAGTTGGATTATTTTGCTTGGATTTTTTGTCAACTGAGCTAAATAGTCTCCGATGCCTCCACCCACCAAAATACTGTGTATCTTTAAATTATCTATGTTTCTGACAATTTGGGGCATACCTAAGGAAAGCAGTTGTAATTGTTGTCTTTATAGGGAAGCCAAATCTTCTAGAATGAAATAATATATCCAAACCAAATTATGTATTTTTGGAATGTCATTTTTTGGTGTGATGTTAGTAGAGATTTGACTTGACATCCTAAAGCAGCATACTTTGTAATACTTTGTAAATAAATACTCTGAGAGAACCTGGTAGGTGAATAGGTTTACTGTCCCTGAGCTAACACTAAAGAAATGGAAGAAGAGGAAAATATTTAAAAATTCAGAGAGAAGACACCTCTGATCCTAGGAGAAGTCTTAGTTTGAAGGAACTTTTATCCCTTAGATCATCTAATTCTAGAGGAGCAACAAAGGTGGAGCATCCTTGTCTTCTGTGAGGCTGCTGCCTCATAGAAGACATAAATCGTGTCGTATCCACTGTTTTCAAGTATCTAAATAAGTGCTCCAGGGTTCAGTCATTGGTTTCTCCAGTCTCTCCCTTGGTGAGTTATCCATCACATGGCTTCAAAAACCTTCTGCCATGGTGCTCAAATTTATACTTCCATCCTGATGATTTTGCTGAATTACAATCTTGTATATGCAGCTAGATCTTTAGGCACCTCAGATTGACGATTGACTGAACTGAACTGTGATTTCCCTGCTCAGTCTTTCTCTGAGGTTTTCCCATCTCAGCAAATAGATGGCCCTTTCAATTATTCCTTTGCTGAGTCCAAAATCCTTGAGGGTCATCCTTGACTCCTCTCTCTTTTCCATGCCTCACATCTTATTCATTAGCTAATTCTTTTGGCTTTCTAATCTCAGAGTATGTTCTAACTGCCCACTTTTCACCACTTACGCTGATCTAGGCCATCTCTCTTGCCTGGACATCTGTACTAGCCTCTTCTTGTTGCCTGTTATTCTTCACCCAGTGGCAGAGATGAACTTTTTAAAATGTATATCAGATCACATTGCTCTTGGCTCCAGGGGTTTTCTACCATTTAGAATAAAATCTAGTCCTTAGTGAGGCCTTCAGGTCTCTGCACGATGTAGACCCTGGCTGCCCGCAATCACCCCGTTGCTCCCTGCACGCAGCTATACTGGCCCACCTCCTTGCTGTTTCTGAAAACAGGCATATGTCTACTCCCAGAGCCTTCCTGTTTGCTCTTCCTTCTTTCCCCCCTGCCTTGCTTTCCAGATGTGTATGGGAAACTTCTTTACATTGTTCAGGTCTCGGCCCACTAAGGTAATTCCTGACCACTCTCTCCAAAATAGCAAACTTCTTCCCTCTCTAGCCCTGTGCACTGCTCTACTCAGTGTTTTTAACATTTCAAAAATGGAGATAAAGTTTACATACCATAAAATTTCTTCTAAAGTTTACAGTTCATTGGTTTTTAGTATATTCAAAGAGGAGTTATACATTCATTATCCCTATCTAACTCTAAAACGTTTTCATTATCCCTGTACCCATTAATAATCACTCTTTATCTCTCCCACCTTGGGAACCATTAATATACTTCCTGTCTCTACAGATGTACCTATTCTGGACATTTCATATAAATGGAACCATACAATATGTGGCCTTTTGTGTCTGGCTTCTTTCACTTAGCATAGTGTTTTCAAGATTCATGTGTGTTGTAGCGTGTATCTATGTTTCATTCCTTTTGTGGCCAAATAATAGTCCATGCTATAGTTATGCATATTTTGTTTACAGTTCATCGGTTGATGGGCATTTGAATTGTTTCCAGTTTGGGGCTGTTATGAATAATGCATGAACAAGTTTTGTATATTGTTGTATAGAACATTATTATATACAAGTTGGGGTTTTTTTGTTTTTTTTTTGAGTTGGAGTCTCACTCTGTCGCCCAGACTGGAGTGCAGTGGCCACTCCCGGCCACCGCAACCTCGACCTGCTGGGCTCTGGCGATCCTTCTGCCTCAACCTTCCGAGTAGCTGGAATTACAGGCATGCTAAGTTTATGAAACTTAGTATTTTTGTTTGGAGTTTAAGCTAGACTTGTTGAGCCCGGCTGATTTTTTGATTTATTGTAGAAATGAGGTCTTGCTGCCCAGGCGGGTCTTGAACCCGCGGGCTCAGGCAATCCGCTCACCTCAGCCTCCCGAAGGCGCGGGATTACAGGCTGAACCACCGAGCCCGGCTATATACAAGTTTTTATATGAACATATGTTTTCAGTTCTCTTGGATTTGAATGTACTTAGGGGTGGAATTGCTGGGTCACACATGGTAACTCTCTGAGGCACTGGCAAACTTTTCCAAAGCAGCTGCACTATTTTGCATCCCCACTCGCAGTATATGAAGGTTCCAGTTTCTGCACATGCTCCCAAACTCAGCTTTCTTTTCCTCATAGCACCGATCACTGCCTGACATACTCTGTATTCATTTTAGTATTGTCTAGTTCTTCTATCAGACAGCGAACTCTGAGAAGTGGGGCCTCTGTCTTGTTCACTGCTGCAGCCCTAGCAGTGCACAAGGACTGGCAGAGAGTTAAACACCCAAGAAATAGCTGATGAATTCATGAATGGACTGCTGTAACCTCTTCACTTAACCACCCCTGCTTTTCATTTTAACCTTTAGTTACCCAAGTACTAAATGGATACATTTTTCTTATAAATTTTTAAGTATTATAACAAAACCATATTCCTTTTGAACAGTACCCACAATCTCATTGCCACTTCTTCGCTGCTAATCCGTGTACGCATGTATGTATGTAACAGTTGGAAACAAGGAAATGACATAGTTTGGGCCTTTTATTTTATTTGTTTACTTATTTATTTTGAGTCAGGGTCTCACTCTCTCGCCCAGGCTGGAGTGTAGTGGCACCATCATGACTCACTGCAGCCTCAACTTCCTGAGTTCAGGTGATCCTTCTACCTCAGCCTACCTAGTAGCTGGGAAATGTAGGCATGCATCACGACACCTACTTTTTGTAGAGATAAGATCTTACTATGTTGCCCAGACGTGGGACTTTTATTTTTTAATTAAAAATGAGCAATAATAATAATAAGCCAGGCACAGTGGCTCACGCCTGTAATCTCAGCACTTTGGGATGCTGAGGTGAGAGGACTGCTTAAACCCAGAGATTAGAGACCAGCCTGGACAACTTGACGAAACCTCCTCGTCTCTACAATTAATCAAAAAATTAGCCGGCTGTGGTGGCATGCACCTGGAGATCTAGTTACTTGGAAAGCGGAAGCAGAAGAATTGCCTGAGCCTAGAAAGTCAAGGCTGTGGTGGCCATGGTCATGCATCTGCACTCCAGCCTGGGCAACAGAGTGAGACTCCAACTTATCAAAATAAACACAATATCATGCTATAAGGATGATTTTACAACTCAACACTGCCTGTGGAATTTTTCTTCACTAGTGTATGTAAACCTGTCTTTTAACAAAACTGCTACATAGTGTTTTGTGTAATGTATATATGAGTTTGTTTAGCTATTGCCTAATTTTAAAAATCACAAATATTTATGGAGTGACTAATTTTTGCAAAGCAGTTTTGTTTTGTTTTGTTTTGTTTTTTGAGTTGGAGTCTCACTCTGTTGCCCAGACTGGAGTGTAGTGGTTGCTCCTGGCCACCGCACCCTCGACCTGCTGGGCTCCGGCAATCCTACCGCCTCAGCTGTCCAAGTAGCTGGAACTACAGGCACGTGCTACCACGCCCGGCTAGTTTTTGATTTATTGTAGAGATGAGGTCTCGCCAAGTTCCCCAAGGCGGGTCTCGAACCTGTGGGCTCAGGCAATCCACTCACCTCAGCCTCCCAAAGGCTCAGGATTACAGGCTGAGCCACTGATCCCGGCTGAAAAGCAGTGTTTTTTGTTTTTTGAGTTGGAGTCTCACTCAGTTGCCCAGACTGGAGTGCAGTGGCCGCTCACGGCCACCGCAGCCTCGAGCTGTTGGGCTCCGGCGATCCTTCCACCTCAGCCTTCCAAGTAGCTGGAACTACAGGCGCGCGCTACCATGCCCAGCTAATTTTTGATTTATTGTAGAGATGAGGTCTCACCAAGTTGCCCAGGTGGGTCTCGAACCCGTGGGCTCAGGCAGTCCACTCACCTCAGCCTCCCAAAGTGCTGGGATTACAGGCTGAGCCACCAAGCCCGGCTAAAGCAGTGTTTTTAAAGATTTGGTTTTTTGTGGGGTTTTTTGAGTTACCCTCTGTTGCCCAGGCTGGAGTGCAGTGGCACGTTCTCTGCTGGGCTAACCTAACCCTAACCCTAACCCTTCTGTCTCAGCCTTCCAAGTAGCTGGAACTATAGGCGCGCACTACCATGCCCGGCTTTTGTTTTTATTTATCGTAGAGATGAAGTCTCACCAAGTTGCCCAGGCTGGTCTTGAACCCCGGACCTCAGGCAATCCTCTCGCCTTGGCCTCCCAAAGTGCTGGGATTACAGACTTGAGCCACTGTGCCCAGCCTTTAAAGGTTTTTAAAACAATGTCATGGTATGAGAGTGTTTAAAGTAGCCACAACAAACGGGGTTGATGTTAGTGAAGCAGAAATTTCCAATCCTTATTTTTATACTTAAAGGAAAAAAATCAGTTCCTCAAAACCTTAGAAAACAATAGTCTGGTTTTGTTTTTTGTTTTTGTGTTTTTAGAGACAATCTGACTCTGTTGCCCAGGCTGAAGTACAGTGGTACAATCTCGACTTGATGCAACCTCGACTTCCTAGGCTCAAGCAATCTTCCCAACTTAGTCTCCCAGTTGGGACAGGGGCTACCGGTGCGTTCCCCTGAACCCAGCTAATTTTTAAAAATTTTTATAGAGATGAAGTCTCACTATGTTGCCCATGCTGGTCTTGAACTCTTAGCCACAAGCGACCTGCCTCCCAAACTAGGACTGAGTTTGCAGGTGTGAACCACCATTCCCAGTCAACAATACTCATATTAATGTCATAGTGGTGAGGAGGGATCAAACTTAGTTATAATTGGGTATTTTGTTATAATTGGGTATTTTAACTATCACAGTTACATAATTTTTGGAGATTTAAGGATTATAATATGGTAACAGTGACCTTCCCGGCCATCCCAGGATACTCACTGAAGCAGCAACTCTCTGTCAGAACTTGCATAGCATGAAATGAACCGGCTGCTTATCATTGGAATTTACCTTTGAGCATACCATCCTATACCCATCGGGAGTGTAAGCCCCTCAGAGGAGGAGACTGGGTAAAGATTATCTGACAAGTCCAATATGTCATGTCTTTCTATTCCATTTTCAAGTCTACTGTTCAGTTCTATTAGTTTATCTTGATGTATGCGCAGAGATATAAACTATTGTCAACCCATGTTTATGCTGTTACATATAGCTTTTTATTTCAAATCTGGTCATAAAAGTCAGGCTCAAACATTCTAGAATTCCCAACTTTTATTTTTGGGCCCGTGCCTATCAAACAGTTAAGGCAATACCCAGTCTTTGAGGCACCGAGTATTGGCGGTCACCACTTCTGCACTGTCTTAGGATTTTCAGTTCTTTCTTCAAAACTTGTGCTTTCAGTTTTTCTTAATTAATTGGTCATCCCATATGTTTGTGTAAAAGAGTTTCTCGGAAAAAAATCCTACAAATCTCAAAAACGTTTGTTTTAAACTTTCTGCTTCATTTCCAGTAGATGGCACCAAACACTCTTTGAAGTTCTTCATTGTTTGAATTCCTAGGTGGTGTTGCTGGCTAACTGATCATTTCTTTCACTGCCAGGGAATGAAAATGGCTCATTCTTTAGTCTTAAGTCTCTGATTTTTATGAAACTTAGTATTTTTGTTTGGAGTTTAAGCTAGACTTGTTGGTGTTTAATTTGTTATCTCTAACTCAGATTTCACTCTTCTTTCCCTTAAAAAAAGTGATTTTTCAATCAGGGTGATTGTAGAAGGGTCATGATATTGAAACAGAACTTGGTTAAAATACAGAAGTGAGAGACAGAATATAGAGATATGCCAAATGTTCATTATAAAATCAGAGAGAGAACATAAAAGCACACGAAATCCAAAATGTTAAGGTAATGAAATAGAAGTACTTTTAGTATGATCAGTTTTGGTACTTTAATGGAATTGCATTCATTTCATTATGATTTTCAAGTTTATTTTTACAAATAACATGCAATTTTTAAAACAGTCTTTAAAGGGTTATATCCCCATTCTCATTTCCAGCTTTGTTTTGTGCTTTGTTGAAAACCTTTACCTTCAGTATGTGTATTTAATTAGTGTCTTCATAAAGAATTAGTTTTTAGATCCAATTAAGCATTAAAACCAGGAAAAATGTTTCCTATATGTCGGGCATTGTTTACTCCATGTTCATTCTTCTTGATTTATTGAGTTTATTTCATTTTAATGGGTTTGTGAACCATTAAAAAATACACATTTGAAATTTCCCACTATAATTACATTTACATGTTTGTCTTTCTTTTTCTCCAGTGTTTGAATGTGTCTTGTGACTCAATATGGAAATTCATAACTGCCTTGTCTTTATATAACTACCAACAGAAGGATTTGTAATCTGGGTTCTGGGAGAAACAGACCTGGGTTCAGTTCCCACCTCTGCTGCTGATTGGATGACCAGGAAAGCAATTTAGCCTCTCTGGGCCTCCTTCTTCATGTGCAAAATATAATCACAACCTACTTCATGAGGTTATACTGAAGATTTGAACTAATGTAGGTAAGTTCCCTGACACATAGTAAGGTATTATTACCCTATGTTGGCAACAAAAATAAACTTTTTAAAAAGGAAATATGTTCGTGCTTTACTCATTTCTATTTTTGGGACTTTATTATCAAGAGCTTTATTTCTACTTTTAAAATTGGAAATGTCAGTTTATTAACAGTGTAGCTTGGGTCTTGAGGTAGCTTTCATCAAAAAAATCTTGATAGATTTAGGGAACAATCCTTAAATCAACTTTTTAGTTCCGTATACATAATATTTTATTAAGCATTTACATTGGTACCCGGTCCACGAGCAAACACACCATTTGTAGCCGTCTTGAAAAGGGAATATTCTTTTTAATGTTTTCATCTAGAACTAAAAGATAGGGAAAGATCCTAAAAGGGATGTAAGTCAAAGAACTCTTGGGTTTCAACATTATTCTGTAGATACAAGAAGTTTCTGAGCTTTAAAAACCCACTCGCGTGAGAGTAATTAATTATACCATCACTTCCCGGGGGACAGAAAAGGCGCCTTTGGAGAGGAGCTTAATGCTGTATACTACAGCCCAATTCCAGTGTTTTCTGAGCAGAATAAAAACGCTGGGCGGCGAACATTTAACACGGGCCAGCCTTTTCTCTACAGCCCACAGCCACGTGGCGCCCGCCAGAGCTCAGGCTGGCTCGCCGCCTCTCGCTGCAGGAGGATTCGCGGGGGTGCCCTTGACCATCGGAGTTCCGGCAAGCCCGGAACCTTCAGGACCGCGGCCACCAGACGCAGGGCTCCAGCCCCGAACCCGAGCGGGCAGAGTGCCCAGGCGACGCGAGTGCCAGCCTTCCATTCGAGGGACGCCTAGCAGGTCCCCGGAAGCTTTCCCTGGGGACAGGTCCTGGCAACAGGTCCGAGGCGGGCCGGGAGGGGCCGGGTGGAGCCGAGCTCCCGCGGCGGCCGGTGAATCAGCACCGCCCAGCGACCCGGTCGGCCCGCCCCGCCAATGCCGGACCTGGAGAGGAGTAGCCGGGCCGCTGACCGGCAGCCACTTAGGGCTCGCGGGGCCTGGAGAAAGGTGACCTCATCGTAGCTGGGAGGTTTCCGAAGGCTCCACCAATGGGAGACAGGCGAGATGGCTTACCTTCTGTAGCTCTTGGCCAATGCTAACAAAGTCCAAGGGGGCCCGGTTGTGGGTATAGAACCAATGGAAAACAGGGAAGGAGCACGAGGCGGAGTTGCGAATCCTGTCGCCAATTGGAAAGAGGGGGTGGAGCCCGGGCCTTGTCAAGCGTGGCCAACCAGCGAGAGGAGCGGACTTTGGGGGGCGGAGCCGCGAGGCCCTCTCCCAATCGCACAAGGCCAGGGGCGGGGCGTTCTTGGGGGGCCCAATGAGGAACGCCGCCGAAGCGGGCCTGTCAAGAGCAGGGGCTGGGGGCGGGGGGATGGTGAGTCGGGGATAAACACTCCGCGGCGGTGGCGGCTGCAGCTCTGCTCCGGGTTCTGTCACGGTGTCGGCGGTGCCCAGCTCCCGGGCCCTCTCCCCCTCCCGGCGAGCGTGGTCGCCAGAGAGGCTCCCTCACTCCTGCTCCGCGGGGTCCGCAGCGGGGCGCGGGTGTCTGACGGCGGCAGCGAGCCCGTGGGCAGTGGGGGTTGGTCCCGCGGCTCCGGCCCCCGGTGCAGAATGGCGACGGCGGTTCGGATGAACATCCAGATGCTGCTGGAGGCAGCCGACTATCTGGAGCGGCGGGAGAGAGGTGCACGGGACGGGAGGGGCCGGCCGAATCGAGGCCGGGGGCATGAGGTGTCCGGCCTCAGGTCGGGCGTCCGGCCCGCCGCGGGTGGTTGGGGAAGCGGCGAGCGCGACCGCGAGCGCTCCCAACCCCTGCGGCGCTCCCCACGCGCGGTCCGAGGGGAGGCCGCCGCCGCCCCCGAA